TGCTCGACATCGAGTCAGCTCGGTTGTGGCCTGACACGGGTCTGCGGCACAACGTGAGATTCACCCTCCGAGCTCTGCACCTGCATATCTGTATGTAAATAGTATAATAAACATTATAGCAACGCTGCCTGCAAAACGATGTTGGCATTAACATACTGCAAAGGGCACTCTGCTGCCTCCTGGCACCTCAAGCAGCCAACTAGAGAGCGCCGAGGAACAAGATCAGTATCTAGTGACCACCCCTCCCCAAGGTAGCCTGGCCTCGGGTCTAATAACACCAAGTAGTCCCAAGCCATACTCAAAAGAAAAGCCCTGTGTCACCGGTTTATTAGATGCTGGCAAGAATTAAGCAAAACACAGTCTAGTTTGTCAAGAATAGCAGGTTAGATGACCACATCAGAATAATGAAATTGAAACATAAGCACAGACTCCTATTGATTTCAGAATGGGCAACCGTGAACCAAAGAAAAGCATGATCTGTCATGCTCAGTGAGGAGCCAGCACGTAAACTAAATGACGGGAGAGGCTGAATCACACTGCTCCACTGTGCTCTACCATACATTAGTTGTCTTCATACAAGCAAGAAGCCTACACAATTTTTCCATTAAAGAAACTCCAAACAATTACGAAAACCTTTATATCTAAGAGAGGCAGTGAAGAAGTCATCACAGTGTGTCCATCAGCAGAAATGGACACTAAGAACAGACATAACCCACATTCCCACTGTTGGAAAACACAGCCCAGCCAGTGCTTTGGCTCCATCACAGTAACTGTCAGGCAATGCTTCCTCATCACACCAACCAAGTTGGGAGTGCACATGTGTAAAGCATGTGCACTTCCATGCACAAGCATGGAAGCAGCAGCAGAACAGTCAGCATACACAACCCTTCTCATTGGGTGATAGAGGCACAAAACCTGAATCTGCTTGTCTCAGTCTGGGTTCATTCTCATATACAGCAGTGACTTCTAGTCATACCCAGCACTATTTGCAGTGTCCCCACACCTCAGTTCAACCATACTCCTTATGTCATTCTGTTGTCTTGCCCACTGCAAATGTTCCTGAGCCCTGCAGCAGGAATTAAATACATCTATTCTTCTCCTTCCAAAGTCCTATGCCATTATTATGGGTGAAAAACAGTTCCTTTCCCTGTCTCCTTTTCTGAAATGAGCAGAACTTTCCACTTGGAAGCAACTCAAGTTTTCCTTCTTGTGCAAAAGAGCTGAGGTTTTCCTCAGTCAATGTAGTATGACAGCATTTTGTATTTTTGAGTAATTTCCTAGGCACTTCCTTCGGTGAGTTTCTGACTAGCACTATCAAGGGTTCACCTGTGTGATACTTAATAGATGGCTTTAAAAAGAAGGTTCAGGAACACACAGAAATTAGCTTTTTAATGAAGAATTTCCTTTCTTTATACTGCTAGGAAGTAGGAAGGGAAAGGCATTTGTAACTTGGGTTTCTATAGAACACAGAGTTTATTCCATTCACCATATAAAGTCTCCAAGGAAGGGAATGCTAAAATGGATCAGATACAGTACTCATTTATTAAAAGGAGCTTTTTAGCTGGGTTTCTGGAGGAACTGAGGCCAATAAAGTTTTATTTTCCTGTCTGTCCATCAACTCCCCACCAAGATTTTAACATTTGGATATGGAGAATTTCCATTCAGGTTAACTAAAAGGTGTAATTCAGAAAGAGTTCTACATCCCTATGAGCTTTGTAGCAATTAGCACTTAAGAAGAAGATATAAAATGAAGGAGAAAAGCTGCAGTGGCAGCTCAATGGTTACCAGTTCTGGAGGTCATGTCTTCATTAGCCACAAGTACCAGCCAAGCAATCTGCATGCGTATAGCTGAATCAGCTCCTGTAGCTGCTGTCCCAGATCCTGACAGTCTCTATGGAATATGGAAGGAAGCTGAAGAGGACGGGAAAGGGAGGTACAGAGAAGAAGTAAGACACCATTATTCCTATTTTACAAATGAAGACCTCAGGTACTTAAATAAGAGATGTTGAGTCAGAGAAGCTGGACAAGCCAATCCAGGAGTTCACTGCTGCTTCTAAAGGCATGCTCACATACTCACCTATGTGCGCCCTCTTGTCTTACTCCAACGCATCTGCTCCTGCTTCCCTCACTGCAGCACCATCACTACCGGTCTGATTCTCAGAGAACTACCTTAGCTCATTAGTTAGCAAAGAAGTCACATGGAAAAGATGAGGGGTAATGAGCACAACATATTCCTGGTGAGATTCCAACTTGACAAGAAGAGGTTTTGCAATGAGAAAAATCAGCCATTGAAATAACCTCCCCAGGAAAGTGGTGGATTCCCCAACACTGGACATGTTTAAGATTTGACTGGTCAGGGTGCTGGGATATCTGCTTTGCCCAGAAATATTGGTCCAGATGATCCTTGAGGTCCCTTCCAACCTAGTATTCCATGATTCTATGAATTGTTCACTTTCTTGCACTGGGTTCATTTTCTGCCAGGTAAGGATACAGGAGGATAGAGAAAGGAACAAATGGCTCAGATAAACACTGGAGCTGACAGAAAGTGATGCAGAACTACACAGCCAGGAAGGGGTGAGGAGGAACCATTAGAGGGAAAAGCGATGATCCTTTTGAGCAGCAGCAAGCTGTGGAGTGATTTGATTGACTGAGACATTTCCTGACTACTTTAGAAGTCCATTAAGGAGCAATGATTGACATTGCTGTATTTCAGGCATCTACCTGAGGCTTCTGAATTAGTCAGCTGGGAAAGAGGATCCCACCTCCTACATTTTCCTACTGACTGTACAGACAGCCTAGGCTTCTAACTCAAATTAGTATAAAAAGATCCACTAAGGTCAACATGTTGACTTTAAGAGATACAAACAGGCACCTCGGGATTTTTCAGAGATTCCCAAACAGCTTAATGTATTTCACGAAACAACAGCTGTTTTCAAATCCCCTGTTAGTATTTTCAGATGCCTAAAAATGCCCTTTAGGAGCTAAATATGGTGTCCAAGAGACAGAGAAAATCTATGTCAAGAGCAAAGAATAGAACCTGCATCTTCAAAGAAAAGTATCCTGAATAACGGACTGTATTCCCTGTGCAGCATACCTCGATGTCACTCCTCCCCTTTGTGAATATTTTGAAGAAAAGCCAGTTTTCCTTCCACTAAGTAAACTGGGTTTAGACAAGGGCTAAATGTGCAAACAAACCCACAGAGACTTAATTCAACAAAACCATCCAGTACATTGTCAAAAAGGCAAACCCAAAACCCTGCATGCAGAAGCCAAAGCCACTTGGCAAACAAGTCTCAGTAGAAAAAGGCTCCGTTCGTGTCAGTGTCTCTGCAGTGAGACATGTGATGAGCATCAGCGGAGAGACAAAGATGAAGCACAACTGTCAGACCAGACAGACGGTATTTGGGAGCCTATGTCGGCAGAGCTGCTCCACCAACTCTGCCAAGACCTGAGATTCTGCTTTTCCTCACCTTCAGCTTGCAGATGGAAGCAAGTTACTCCCCACAGTGAGCCAGGAGGATCCACTCTGTCTCCTCCTCTTAGGAGCAACACTGCCCATGGCAGCAGATACACGGGCAAGCACTTAGAGGACCCACTGGCTGCAGAGAAGTTTTCTCAGGTCGCAGTTTAAAGGTCTCCAATAAGAATTTAATTCAACAAACCAGTTACTGCGTAGTAAATCCCCCGAGAACTACATACATGTCTTGATTGCTGCTGAACCTCAGTAAACGAGTCCTTAATCATCAGTTGGCAATTAATTATCAAACAAGAACTAATTGCAACAGATAGGTAGCCGCTTAGATTGAAGTCAGTAGTTTTACGCTAATTAAATAGAGAGGTCCATGAATTACACAAATATGTTCCAACCAACATACAGGCAGAGACGAGCACTGGGGTGGTAGGGAGAAAGAGTTATTATTTATTGGCCCAAGAAAGCACCCACAACAAGTGTAGGCTGCAGCATGACATCCTCAGCGCAGCTCCCTTGGGCCTGGCGCTGGCAGCAGAGCGCTACTCCTCCACACGTGGGGTGAGGCAGGAGAAACGGAAAGCCTTGCGCAGAGACCTCAGCACTCTCCTGAAGCGGTTCAGTCGTCGCCGTGGGGCCGCTCCTGGGTCTGGAAGAGTGGCAATGCCTGTGGGGGAAGAAGAGCTGTAGGTGAGGGACTTCCTTTGGCAACGCATTCCAGTGCCTCACCACCCTTACAGTAAAGAACATCCTCCTTAAATCCAATCTAAACTTCCCCTGTTTAAGTTTTAACCCGTTACCCCTTCTCCTATCACTACAGTCCCTAACGAAGAGTCCCTCCCCAACATCCCTATAGGCCCCCTTCAGATACTGGAAGGCTGCTATGAGGTCTCCACGCAGCCTTCTCTTCTCCAGGCTGAACAGCCCCAGCCTTCTCAACCTGCCTTCATACAGGAGGTGCCCCAACCCCCTGATCATCCTCGTGGCGCTTTCCACCAAAGGCTTGCAGCCCTCAGCCCGTGGAGGGGAGGCTGGGACACACCCGAACCCATGCACACACTGCTGCCGGCCTGGCCTGGGTGCCACCCAACTCGGGGAAGTACCTGGCTGGTTCTCGCTGTCCTGAACTACAGCAGGCGACATTGATGGTAATTCCACATGCAAGCTTTGTGCCACGTCTGGCTCTTCCACCTGCTGCTGCCTTGTTTCCTGGATGACAGCCACAGCCTTGCCCAGGTGTTTCCTCAGAAAGCGTCTGATCCTACCCTGCAGGGTAGCAAAAGCACAGGCAGGGGATGGGGGCAATGTCAGTGGGATGACACAGGGAGCACCGGAAACAGCCTTGTCACAAACCCCCTGGGAGCTGCCGTCCAAGGCCTTGGGATCCCCGGTGCCAACCACACACGCCTCACTCACCTGGCGCCGAGAGTCCCGAGACAAGGGAGAAGCTGCTGCATCTGCTCCTGGAGGAACGTGGGATGTTCCAGCCTCTGCTGCAGGAATCTCAGTCAAGGGAGGGGCCACTTCATCCTCAGGCGCTGTTGGGGAGGCAACGGCTGCGCTGGCTTCTCCCTGAGGCTCTGAAGACACAGCAGACTCAATGTCCTCAAGTGGTGCAGGCGTCAATGCTGCCACTGACACACTGAGGATTTGGGTCATGTCCTGATATTCCACCAGCTGTTGGCTGGTTTCCTGATCCACACCCTGGACCGGAGGCTCCCTTGTGATGAGCACGGCTGCTTCCTGTGGAACCCCCTCCTGTGCATTTGGACTGAGCAGGCCAAGTGCCTGGCTCTGTGCCTGTGGTGCTGCCTCCTGCTCATCAGCACCAAGGGAAGCTGGTGTCAGTGCCGCCTCCTCCTCTTGTGACACAGGAGTGAGAGGTGGGCAGTGCTCCTCTTCCTCTGCAGCTTCACCCAGTGTAGAAGCTGCCAGTTTGGTGTCCGTGGGAACGGCTGGGACAGGTGACGCTCGCTGCAAGTCCCCAGCTGCCTCTCCTGTCACATCCTTGCCCTTGCTGCTGGGGAAGCCAGTCCCCTCCTGGGTATCGGCCTGGGGGTCCTGGAAGAGCTCCGGGACGTAAGGGTTGACCCAGAGGTTGTGTATGGTGATCTCTTCCACTTGGGACAGCACTTTATCAGTGCCCTCTCCCCTCTCTTTCTCCTCCTTGGCCACTGCCACATCCAGGATTTGGGTCATGTCCCGAGGTTCCACCAACTGCTGGCTGGCTTCCTGGAACAGTCCAGTGATGTTCGTGGCCAGTTCTTCTGCAACCATCTCACGGGCATCTGGACTGAGCAGGGCAGGTACCTGCCTCTGTGCCTGTGGTGCTGCCTCCTCCTCGCCACAGACAGGAGACGCTGGTGCCGGTGCTGCCTCCTCCTCTTGTGACACAGGAGTGAGAGGTGGGCAGTGCTCCTCTTCCTCTGCAGCTACACCCAGTGTAGAAGCTGCCAGTTTGGTGTCCATGGGAACGGCTGGCACAGGAGACGTTCTCTGCAAGCCCCCAGCTGCCTCTCCTGTCACATCCATGCCCATGCTGCTGGGGAAGCCAGACCACTCCTGGATATCTGCCTGGGGGTCCTGGAAGAGCTCTGGGACATAAGGGTTGACCCAGAGGTTGTGTACGGTGAGCTCTTCCACTTCGGACAGCTCTTTGTCTATGGCCTCTTCCCACTCCTCTTCCTTTCTCTCCAACTCCTCATCATCAGCTTCCACATCCAAGGTCCCTGGCGCCACCTGTAATCACACAAGAGGGATGCAGGAGGTGAGTAGGCTTCACTTGGGTGGAGCAGTGGCTGGCCAGAGGCAGAGGTTCATCCCCCTGTCCTTTCCCTTCCTGTCCTTGGCACTCACCTGCCTGCGACTGGGCATCCGTCTGCACCGCAAGGCCGCACGAGGCCTCCGGCCCTCCTGCTGCTGGAGCTGCCTTTCCACAGAGCTGCCCAGCAGCCAAGGCAGGCTGGCTGTCCTTTGCATGTGGAGCCTGTGCCTGGTGTGGGCCATGCTGCTCCTCTGCGGCTCCTCCAGAGGCTCTGGCAGAGGGAGCAGCGGGAACCTCCCTGCCACAGATAGCTCATGCAAGACTCCTGCTTGAATCTCGTCAGTATCTCCGGTGCCAGCCATAGGTTCCTCGCTCACCAGGTGCTCAGATTCACGAGCAGAGGCAGTAGCTCCTGCATTTCCTTCGTTGGCTACTTCAGGGGCACAGTGGCATGCTCCAGCCTCTGCCACAGGCATCTCAGTCCATGAAGCTGCCACTTCCTCTTGCTGTGTTTCTGGTAAGATAATGCCTGTTTCAGCCTCTCCTTGATGGTCTCCACACACAGGAGACTCAGTGCCCCCAGTCCCCGCAGATTCCATTACTGCTGTTGCTTCATCTAAGTTTTGGGTCATGTCCTGATGTTCTGCCAGCTGCTGGCTGGTTCCCTGGACCACAGCCAGATTCATGATCAGGACCTGTTTGGTGATGCTCCTGGCCATTTCTTCTAGAATCATCTCAGAGGCGTGTGGGCTGAGCAGAGCAAGTGCCTGGCTCTGTGCCTGGGGTGCTGCCTCCTGCTCACCACAGGCAGGAGACACTGGTGCCGGTGCCACCTCCTCCTGTGCCACTGGAGTGAGAAGTGCATGGTGCTCCTCTTCCTCTGCAGCTACAGCTAATGTAGAAGCTGTCGACTCAGTGTCTGTGGGTCCGGCTGGAGTAGGAGACATGGTCTGCAGGCCTGCAGTAGCCTCTTCTGCCACATCCATGCCCACGCTGCTGGAGCAGCCAGGCCCCTCCTCGATATCCTCCTGGAGGTCCTGGAAGGGCTCTGCGACCAAAGGGTCGACCCAGAACCTGGAGGAGGTGATCTCTTCCCCTTCGCACAGCCCTTCGTCTGTGTCCTCTTCCTTCCTGTCACACTCCTCATCATCAGCTTCCTCATCCGAGGTCCCTGGCACCTGCTGTTCCAAAGGCTGCTGTTCGGCTCCGTGGACCTCAGAAGCAGCCTTCAGCAGGACCTCCCTTGTGATATGCCTGGCTGTTTCCTCTAGAACTATCTCACAGGCATCAGGGTTGAGCAAGGCAGGTGCGTGGCTCTGTGCCTGTGGTGCTTCCTCCTGCTCCAAGAGACTGGCTGTGATAGGAGACCCGCTTTGCGGGTCTCCACCCGCCTCCCCTGTTGCATCCATGCCCATGCTCCTGGGGAACTCAGACCCCTCCTCGATATAGACCTGGGGGTCCTGGAACAGCTCTGGGAGAGAGGGGTTGACCCAGAGGTTGTGTACGGTGACCTCTTCCACTTGGGACAGCACTTTTTCAGTGCTCTCTTCCCTCTCTTTCTCCTCTTTGGCCACTGCCACATCCAGGATTTGGGTCATGTCCCGAGGTTCCACCAGCTGCTGGCTGGCTTCCTGGAACAGTCCAGTGATGTTCATGGCCATTTCTAATGCAGACATCTCACAGGCATCTGGACTGAGCAAGGCAGGTACCTGCCTCTGAGCCTGTGGTGCTGCCTCCTGCTCGCCACAGACAGGAGACGCTGGTGCCAGTCCTGCCTCCTCCTCTTGTGACACAGGAGTGAGAGGTGGGCAGTGCTCCTCTTCCTCTGCAGCTACACCCAGTGTAGAAGCTGCCAGTTTGGTGTCCGTGGGAACGGCTGGCACAGGAGACGCTCTCTGCAAGTCCCCAGCTGCCTCTCCTGTCACATCTTTCCCCATGCTGCTGGGGAAGCCAGACCCCTCCTGGATATCTGCCTGAGGCTCCTGGAAGAGCTCTGGGACATAAGGGTTGACCCAGAGGCTGTGTATGGTGATCTCTTCCACTTCGGACGGCTCTTTGTCTATGGCCTCTTCCCACTCCTCCTCTTCCTTTCTCTCAAACTCTTCATCATCAGCTTCCTCATCCCAGGTCCCTGGCACCTCCTGTAACCACACAACAGGAATGCAGAAGATGACTTTACGGAGCAGTGGCTGGCCACAGGCAGAGGAAGACTCATACCCCTGTCACGTCCCACCCTGTCCTTGGCAATCACCTGCCTGTGACTGGGCATCCATCTCTGCCTGGGTGGCAAATGATGCCCCTTGCTCTCCTCATGCTGGATCTCTCTCTTCACAGAGCTACCCAGCAGGCAGCCCGCTTGGCTGGCTCTCCTTTGCATGTCGAGCCCGGGCCTGTTGTGGGCCATACTGCTCCCCTCCAGCTCCTCCAGAAGCTCTGGCACAGGGAGCAGCGGGAATCTCCCTGCCACACACACCCCGGGAGCTGCGCTCGCCTCCAGCACCTCAGGATCCCCAGTACTGGCCGCAGGCACCTCACTTACCAGGTAACGAGAGTCCCAAGCCAAGGGAGTCGACACTGCCTCTCCTTCATCGCCTGCTCCTGGTGCAAAGTAGGGTGCTCGAACCACTGCTGCAGCCTTCTGAGGCAACGAAGCTGTCATTTCACCCTCATGTGCTTTGGGGGAAACAAGGGCTGTGCTGGCCTCTCCCTGATGTTCTCCAGATGTGGAAGATGCCCTGTCTTCTTCAGCCTCATCTGCTGTTGGGATGGGAGAGGCTGTGCCGGTCTCCATATGAGACTCTGCAGCCACAGGAGACTGAGCGTCCCCAGCTGCTGCAGGTGTCAATGATTCCACTGTCACATCCAAGATGTGGGACATGTCCTGCTGTTCCAAAGGCTGCTGCTCGGCTCCGTGGACCTCAGAAACAGCCTTCAGCAGGACCTCCCTTGTGATAAGCTTGGCTGTTTCCTCTAGAACTATCTCACAGGCATCAGGGCTGAGCAAGGCAGGTGCGTGGCTCTGTGCCTGTGGTGCTTCCTCCTGCTCCAAGAGACTGGCTGTGATAGGAGACACGCTTTGCGGGTCTCCGCCCGCCTCCCCTGTTGCATCCATGCCCATGCGGCTTGGGAACTCAGACCCCTCCTCGATATCGACCTGGGGGGCCTGGAACAGCTCCGGGAGAGAGGGGTTGACCCACAGGTGGCGTACGGTGACCTCTTCCACTTGGGACAGCACTTTTTCAGTGCCCTCTTCCCTCTCTTTCTCCTCTTTGGCCACTGCCACATCCAGGATTTGGGTCATGTCCCAGGGTTCCACCAGCTGCTGGCTGGCTTCCTGGAACAGTCCAGTATTGTTCATGGCCATTTCTTCTGCAGCCATCTCACAGGCATCTGGACTGAGCAGGGCAGGTACCTGCCTCTGTGCCTGTGGTGCTGCCTCCTCCTCGCCACAGACAGGAGACGCTGGTGCCGGTGCTGCCTCCTCCTCTTGTGACACAGGAGTGAGAGGTGGGCAGTGCTCCTCTTCCTCTGCAGCTTCACCCAGTGTAGAAGCTGCCAGGTTGGTGTCCCTGGGAACGGCTGGCACAGGAGACGCTCTCTGCAAGTCCCCAGCTGCCTCTCCTGTCGCATCCTTGCCCTTGCTGCTGGGGAACTCAGACCCCTCCTGGGTATCTGCCCGGGGGTCCTGGAAGAGCTCCGGGACTGAAGGGTTGACCCAGAGGTTGCGTACGGTGACCTCTTCCACTTGGGACAGCACTTTTTCAGTGCCCTCTTCCCTCTCTTTCTCCTCTTTGGCCACTGCCACATCCCGGATTTGGCTCATGTCCTGAGGTTCCACCAGCTGCTGGCTGGTTTCCTGATCCACAGCCACAGCCTGGACCAGAGGCTGCCTTGTGATGAGCAGGGCTGCTCCCCGTGGAACCAACTCATATGTATGTGGGCTGAGCAGGGCAGGTGCCTGACTCTGCTCCTGTGGTGCTTCCTCCTGCTCACCATCGTCAGGAGAATCTCTTTCCTCTGCCTCCTCCTCGTTCACATCCCAGAACTGGTAGATTGCGCTGACACTGGATGTGTCCTGCACTTTTTCACCTCTTACTCTGACGTTGACTGGGGCAGTTGCATGGCACTGTGCTTCTGCTGCTGGAGCTTGACTGTCAAAGCCACAAGAGGCTGGGGTCTCTGCCTCCTCCTCAGCAGCATGTCTGAAAAGGACCTTCTTCAGGATCCTCTTGGGTGTAACCTCCAGATCCATGTTGTTTCCTTCGTGGCTGTGCGGGGCAGGTGCCTGGCCCTGCGCTCGTCCTGCTGCAGCCTGCCTGCCGATGCCAGGAGAGGCTGGTGCCTCTGCCTCCTCGACACCATCTCTGAAAGGGACCTTCTTTTTGATGCGCCTGGATGGGACATTCAGATCTGTGTCATTTTCTGCGGAGCTGTTCAGGGCAGGTGCCTGGCGCTGCATCTGTCCCGGTGCAGCCTGCTGGCCACACTCAGGAAAGAATGGTACTTTTGCCTCCTCTTTGGCCACATCCCTGAAGTGGCACTTCGAGACGGTGCTGCACGACACTTGCACATCTGCAACATGCACTGGGACAGAGTGCAGGGCAGGTGACTGGTGCTGGGCTTGTGCTGCAGCAGCCTGCCTGCTAAAGCCACGAGATTCTGGTGCTGCTGCCATGGGAACGAGAGGTGCCTGGTACTGCTCTTCCTCAGGAGCTCTGGCCAAGCGGCTCCTCCTGGCCTGTTGCAAAGTTGCGGGCAGAGGCTTTGCAAGAACCTTCTTGTGCAGCCCCAGCAACTTGCCATTGAGGCAGCCCTCGATGTCTGCTGCCAGCATTGCTCGCTGGCGCTCTGCCTCTCGCCCCGTCTTCCTGCTCTGGGAAGCACCAGTGCTCGCACGGGTGTTAGGATCAGGAGCAGGCTGAGTGGCAGTGGCCTTGCTGCCGTTAGCTGCCCTGACAGCGTATCTTCTTGTCATTGCAGCCCTGCCGTATGCTGGGCCCTGGCATGCCACTGCCTGCTGGCAGGGCCCCCGGCTCTCAGTGCTGTTGTTGCGCAGGACCGTGCTCACATTTCCTGTGCCCTTCGCTGTGGCGGAGGCTGTGGGCCTGCGTGGGGCAGGCTGACAGCTCCTTGGCGACGCAACAGTGATGCCATGTGCGTAGATGCGGCGCAGCTCGGCAACAGCTGGGCAAAGCTGCTTTTGGCTGTTCCTTGTGCTGCCGATGGCCACGTCACTGAAGGTGGATGTAGGGGCAGAGGGTGTCGGTGTCAGGGGAGGCAGCACGCAGCAGCTGCTGGCTGCTCTCTCTGGCCGAGGTGGCGGCTGAGGTGCCCTTTCCACCAGCAGTGGCAGACGAAGTGTCTGCTCCTCGGTCCTCATGCTGCGGGGCAGCACCACTCTGCGCCTCAGGCAGCCCTCCTGCAAGAGAAGCCAAGGAGAGGCTCTGTGATAGTGCCTCTGGCTCCCGTGTCCCAGCTGGCTGAGCTCACGCAGTTGGGCTCCCCTGCCAGCCCCATGGCAAGGCTCAGCCCCACAGGTGGGTGCTGCCTGCTCCCAGAGCTGGCTGGGGAGAGGGCTGGCCACCCGCAGCCCATGGCCACTGCCCACAGCAGCCCTGGCATGCCCGGGCAGCCTGCGGGGCACAGCATGGGGAGCTCAGCTTCCTCCCTCCTGCCCCTCCCGCCTGCCCATCAGCAGTTCCTGTGGCTGGGAAGATGTTTGGCCCTGTCTCCCTCGGGGTCCCTACCTGTGCCTCCTGGGTCACGATGGGCCGAAACCTTCTTTGGCAGGGACTCTGTGGCAGCGTGATCCCGTGCAGCCCTTCGTCAGGCTGCCTGTGGCCCACCTGCGGGCAGGAGGAGGAGAAAGAGGTGTGTGATGGAGGCGACTGCCTTGGCACAGCAGCCCCCCCAGCGCCGGCAAGCCCGGCCCCGGCCCCGAGGCAGCTCCATGTGGCCCCGCCCCACCACCGGCCTCTCACTCCTGCCCCAGCCCTCACCTGGCATCTCCTTTCCACTCCACGCCTGCCCTTGGCGGGCTGGGAGCTGGCGTTTGATCCCTTGTCCACTGGCATCTTCTGTGTCCTTGGATGCAGACTTGCCGTGGATTCACAGGGCTAATGCCACCTCTAGGGTGCTCCAGGGCCTTAAATACCCCACATAACAGTCGTAACAATGCCCC